GATGGCTCCCTGTTGGCATTCACTTTTCTCTGGGATGCGATATTGCATGTGTGTTTATTCGAGTGGGGGAGAGAGACAGAGAAAGAGAGAGAGAGAGAAAGAGGGAGGGAGGGAGGGAGGGAGGGAGAGAGAGAGAGAGAGAGGGAGAGACAGAAGCATGAAAGAAGCTCAGATGTTGGGATCTCCATACATCTGTTTTTCCATGTACTCTGGAGACCAATTTATTTAATCTGATCTGAGCCTGTAAATCCTATCAGCATTACTGGTTCCTCCTATTTTTACGGTATCAGTGTCTATGATGATTATGGTACTTGTCCTCCCCTCCTCCCTAAGGACTATTCACGCACCAGAATGCCAGGAGGAGTTAAGAAACTTTGAGACTTTAGCATGGTGTTTCTCAACCTTGGCAACTTTAAGGACTTCAATTCCCAAAATTCCCCAGCCAGAACACTGAAAGAGGCTCACTGCTTTAAAATCATAGAGCAGGCATGGCATGAACAATTAATTCCATTCCTTCCTTGGTACAGAAAATACAAAGATAAGGCACTCCCTGACAAATGGGTATCTAGGGATTTGCTTGAAACTCACCAGTGAGAACGAGTTGATCATATCCCAAGAAATTGCTCCTATGGTCAAAACTGGACTTATAATTAAAATTAAATCAATGTTCAATCATGAGCTACAGGTATTTTTTTAAAACTTAAATTTAAATGGCAGTGGAAAACTACCCGTTACTATTTTTTTTGTAACAAGCTTCCAGATATTTCTATGCATATCTCCCATGAGCACAAGGCTTGTTAAACAAACTAAATAAGCAAACACTATTCTTTCAACCTTTTCTCATGGGAATTATTTTTAATACTCATTAAACCTATTTTTTAATAGAGTTCTTTATTGGCCAAAGTGTGACTGAACACACAAAGAATTGGTCTCTGGTGCATAAGCTCTCAATGTACATACAAACTACAAACATACAGTGCACATACAGACATAAGCTCTCAGGGTACAATTTATCTACGTTCTTCTTACAAGTGTGAGGCATCCCAAAGTGCAAATTATAGTTTTCACCGTTACTTCTCAAGATTCAGAAACTCAGATTCTACAGTTGCAACTAAAATTGCATCAGACTTTTTTGGCAGTTCCATGACACGTTGATTCATGTTCAGCCTTTTCACTGCCAAGCCAGGTATTCTCCCCCAATCTAGTTAATATTTGTGCATTTGAGTTGATTTTTCTTTTTAAATTAGCCAATTTTGTTTTGTTCAATTCAGTCCAGATTTCTGCTCAATTGATCCAGTTAAAAACATGGTGGACCTTCATACACGTTATCATCACTTCTCAAGCTCAGATGTGCCCTCCCAATAGTTTGCAATTTTCATTACCCAGCCACTGAGAACTCTTCATGAATGTGCCAGCAGTCCTTCCAGATGCCTGTGGAAGAAGCTCTAATATTAATATTATTGCCAGTGCCCCACCCCCTTTCACCTCCCTGTATTTAATTGTGCGGCCAATTCATGCTCTTAAGTTGGAGTTGCAAACCTTTTGCTCTGCTCTTGGGACATGAATATAGGTTAGGAGGTGCAAGTGGGAGACAACAAAGAGTCAGAGTGTCCACCACCACCACTTGTCCACCCCAAGCTCCATGGAATGGCAATGTTGCACATTGAAAAACAGAAAGCAAGCAATTGCTCATCTGCCACATCTGGAAATGGGTTCAGATGACAGGGGTGATAATTCAGAAGTGGCACCAACTTCTGGTGAAAATGTGAAAGTACCTACTGACATAATTTACAATTTAATCTCCATTTTTTTACTCACCATAATGAGTAAGTTGCTGTGGCTCTAATAAAGTATAGTCTTCACTAATAATTCTTCCATCTCAATTAAGTTTCAGGCATTCTGTCAACCCAACCACAAGTACGCATGCACACACACATTCACAAACACACAATTGTGCTATTCTATTTCCTGGCTAGGTGCAATGTTCAGCTGCTCCAAACAGATGAATCATCCCTTGCAGCTGTTGCTCAACAGCTGTACAGCTTGTGTTTTCAATGCCAGGGATTGCCAGGGCTCATCAGCCAGCACCACTGCACAGGCGAAGGGAAAGGAGAGGCCACACCAATGGGAAAGCATAGTGCAGCAGGCCTTTTAAATACAGGTAGCCCTCGAGTTAGGACCACAATTTAGCCCAAAATTTATGTTGCTAAATGAAATATTTTTAAGTGAGTTTTGCCCCATTTTACGACTTTTCTTGCCACAGTTCTTAAGTGAATCACTGCATTTGTTAAGTTACTAACATGGTTGTTAAATGAATCTGGCTTCCCCATTGACTCTGCTAGTCAGAAGGTCGCAAAAGGGAGGTGTCACATGATCCCAGGATACTTCAACCGTCGTAAATATGAACCAGTTGCTAAGCATCTGAATTTTGATCATGTGACCATGGGGATGCTGCAAGTTGTAGGTGTGAAAAATGGTCATAAGTCACCTTTTTCAATGCCAATGTAACTTTGAACTGTCACTAAATGAACTGTTGTAAGTCGAGGACTGCCTGTAGTAAACATGGACCATTTGCAAATCCTCGGGCCAAATTCTTTTATGCATTTAATTTCCCCAGAAGAGAGAAAACAAAACTCTGGGTCTGAAGCAAGATAGAACTTCCTGCGTGCCAAGTTAAAATAAAGATGATGGGATGTAGATGTTTACTATTTCAATGGCCAAACCAGAAAAAAATGTGAATTAAGCACCCGTTACATGTTGCTTTTCTCTGTGTGGTGAAATGAATTAACAAATGTTAATTCATTAAGGAAACAAACAAAGGAAGACAGGAAGGATTACCCAAACGAACCACAAAATAGAAAAGAGAAGAAAGTATATTATGGCACCATCAACTAGCTCTTTAGACTGGATTTGACTTATCTGTACACCTATCAAGTCCTTCCTAAAAACATGGAATAGGCAGAGTAGTTTAATAATATTAAAAGTATCACTGCAGAATGTACGCTGCTCCAAATAAAGCTGCCTTTTGCAATTGACTAATGGTGATTTTTGTCAATGCCAGTGGTCTTAAATGATGCTTCTGATGTCAAGATGCATATTACTATTGGCAATACAGTTAGTCCTCGACTTATGACCACAATTGAGCCCAAAATTTCTGTTGCTAAGTAAGACATTTGTGAGTTTTGCCCCATTTTATGACTTTTCTTATAACAGTTGTTATAAGTGTGAATCACTGCCATTGTTAAGTTAGTATCATGGCTGTTAAGTGAATCTGGTTCCGCCATGGACTTTCCTTGTCAGAAGGTTGCACAAGGTGATTGCATGATCATTGCATGATGATTGACACTACAACCATCATAAATATAGTCAGCTGCCAAGCATCTGAATTTTTAATCACACGGTCATGGGGATGCTGCAATGGTCATAAGTGCGAAAAATGGTCATAAATAGTCACTTTTTTCAATGCCATTGTAACTTTGAACGGTCACTAAATGAATTTTTGTAAATCGAGGATTACCTGTACTGTCGCTTTCCCTTGCCACAGTTGTTCTACTTCTATTTTTAAGTCTTTATATTTTGTGATTTTCTCCAGTTCTCTCTTTCTTCTACCATCTTCAGGTGCTGTTGTTTGTGATCAGTCTGTGAACAGCTAACCAAGTACTCCACTGTTTCTTCAGCTCCTTTACAAACATGGTATTTGCTGTCTGTTGCTGCCTTCTCAATTTTGGCTTTGCTTGCATTTGTCTTTAAGGCTTGGTCTTGTGCAGCCAGAATTAGCCCCTCTGTTTCTTCCTTCAGCTTTCCTGCTCTTACCCATGGCTAAGCCCTGCTGTTATCTGCTTTTGCCTGCTAGGTTTTTTTTTTTTTAATGTACCGTGTTTCCCCGAAAATAAGACCCTGTCTTATATTTTTTTTGAACTGTGAAATAAGCACTTGGCCTTATTGCCATGCGCTCAAAAGCCCAATTGGGCTTATTATCAGGGAATGTCTTATTTTGGGGAAAACAGGGTATTGGCCATCTACATATACTTTGCTATACTTTTTTCTTTTCTTTGTTTGGTCTTCTTACAGACCAAAGTTTGGTCACTTTCAGCAAGCATTTATGGTATACTGCTGCTTCAGACTGGAAAGCTGTGGAGAGGGTGGTGAGGACGGCAGCAAAGATTATTGGAAGTTCACTCCCTTCTATCCAAGACATAGCATATAAGTGATGCTTGAGCAGGGTACACAGGATTGCCTGGGACGCGACACATCCTCTTCACGACCTGTTTTCCTTGTTAACTTATGGGAGGAGGCTTCATGGTATCTGAAGCAGAACATCTAGATTCAGTCAGTTTTGTTCCATATAGCATCAACCATGTGAACTCTCAAGTTTCCTCTTTCCGCTATGTATTCAAAATGGATAGTGATTAATATATGAAGTTTTCTTCCAGTAGTCCTGTAGTTGCTGGTCTTGACTGCTCAGCCAACAGTAGTGAGTCCTGTAAGCCTATTTGTCACCAGATGTCCAGAAAATCCAACAAGTAGCACAGTCGTTGTTGACCCAGGGGACAACGGATCTGATATGGGTCTCTGTAAATTACTGTATATCTCCCCATTTTGTTTATGGGAGAGCCACTCTTTGTCCTGTTCCTTTGATGAGACCTGTCCAAAATGGTTGAACTTCTGGCATAGCTCTCATCTTCCTTAGAGCACACAAACCCACAACTACATCAAGGCAGTGCATCACTGAGGGATTATTATATTTGCGGATTCTCAAAAAGCAATATTTATAAGACTTCAGATATATGAAGGTTTTTGAATGCATAGATAGATAGATAGATAGATAGATAGATAGATAGATAGATAGATAGATAGATAGCCATTCTGTAACAGAAGATATGATTGAGATATCTATCTACAAGGGTGGGGAGGAAGAGAGATTTTCTTAAGTATTACTGTAAATACCAATAAAATAGAGTAGCATTCACAACAACAGGTTTAAACTTAACATAATTTACCTGTGTGGACGGCTGTCACTTTTCCTGTTTTTCTGGGGATACTCTTCAATGACACCTTGAATTACAGGTCCTGGAGACTGATTTGTTTGGGTGTATGGCAACATTCTCATGTTGTTGAGGACATCACATGACCCAAGAAGAAGGGTTCCTTTTTTTTTTCTCGGAAGGGTACCATGGATAGAAATATCTTGATGGGTACCAGAATGAAGTTCATCAGCCAGAACGGGTTTGCTGCTCAACAGATCCATAGAAGATGCCAAGGGAAACTCATGGTTCATCTGCATATCCCGTGGAAGACTTGCAAACTTCCCAGCTGCTATCATTCTTTAAGTCTAGAAAACAAAAACAGAACATACCGGACATTATAAAACATGGAAGCCTTCTTGTTCTATGAAAGCAAAACAAATGAGGGTTGATGATAGACCCAATACATAACCACATAATAGTTATAATTATGTAATAATAATTATGTATAAGTATAATTATGTGGTTTTTACATAAAAACATTTTTGGGAGGAGAATGTACTGGCCTCCCCAGAAGATTATGGAGACTACAAGAGTGTGTAAGTGAGGAGCAATGAATAGGAGCCCAGCCATTTACACCAATTCAATTGCTCTCATTTTCCCCAGCACTCACTGTCTGCTAGATTGAGATTACTACAGTAAATGATTAAAGACTTTAACCATCTTATTCCTTCTGGGATTTCGAGAAAATTATTCCTGAACTGCTATAAGCAGCCAAGAAAGAGCAATCTTGATTAGTATCGCTAGTGGAACTGGCAATCTATTAGTAGCTGAAGAACAGCAGACCTTGCCTTCGAGGGCCACTGGGGAGTGTTTGATAAGTATCTCCCGTTTATAAGTATCTCCCGTAGATTTTAGGACAATCTAAAGAATAGTTTTAGGCATTCACAGACCAGAAAAATTTGTTGTTGTTAGTTGCAAAGTCCTGTCTGACCCATCGCGACCCCATGGACAACGTTCCTCCAGGCCTTCCTATCCTCTACCATCCTCTGGAGTCCATTTAAGCTCACACCTACTGCTTCAGTGGCTCCATCCAGCCACCTCGTTCTCTGTGGTCCCCTTCTTCTTTTGCCCTCAATCTTTCCCAGCATTAGGCTCTTCTCCAGTGAGTCCTTCCTTCTCATTAGGTGGCCAAAGTATTTGAGTTTCATCTTCAGGATTCTAAAGCCTTCCAAAGAGCAATCAGGGTTGATCTCCTCTAGGATTGACTGGTTTGATCACCTTGCAGTCCAAGGGACTCGCAGGAGTCTTCTCCAGCACTATAGTTCAAAGGCCTCAATTCTTTGGCACTCAGCCTTTCTTATGGTACAACTTTCACAGCCATACATTGCAACTGGGAACACCGTAGCCTTGACTATACACACTTTTGTTGGCAGGGTGATGTCTCTGCTTTTTAGTATGCTGACCAGAAAAATAGTCAGACTTAAAATCCAGGTTGCCACTACATTTGCCATCACACTTTCAATCAATCCTAACATATTCAGCCACTATGTAGAAGCAGGCGATGAAAGAAAAATGGGAAACTTCATAACTATTTGCTGACATCTTTTCCTCAGCCTCAGGCATTTATAACAGTTATCGCTTACCCAATAAAGCAAACAGAGAAGTTATGCACAGTACTGTATCCAAATCATTTTTGATATCCACCATGGGACCAGCTCTGATCACCAACTGCATGTTTACTCTAGTTCTGACCAACAATATAGCATTTTATGTATTCCTTTGCCACAAAAGCAGCAGTTTTTAGACAGTCAATGTGCTTTGCAAATTGTGCCAGGATTAGAGTCTCAAAAACACACCTGCAGAAGCATTTCAGGAAGATAGGATATTTTTACCCACAACATTTCTCTTTCTAATTGTTATTTAATGCCCCAAGTTCTAAAGCAGGTCAAACATCAGCCAGGAATCATTAACTTCAACAAAGGTGTCAGAGATGACTGATATTATACGGATAATCCTCAATTTAAGAGATTAGCAGTATAAACTTGGCAAAGGGTGCCACTTGGAAAAAAAATCTTTCAGTAGCATAAGAATGATCCCTGTATTTCAGAAAGATCTATTGAGACAGAAACAGATAACTGGAAGTCTTGTTTGTGGCTCCTTTGAGTTAAGGACATGTCCTTGCAGTTGTCTTGGCAGTAGTATGGAAATGCTTTGCCAAAGTCTGCTTCTTCAAGGATATTTGTCAACTTCCCTGTCTAGTCTACAGTTTGGCATTCCCTGGCAGCCTCCCATCTACCTATTAATCAGGCCTGACCCTGCTTAGCTTCCAGGTTCAGATAAGATGAGCCAAGGGCTGCTACCCAAGCTTAGGATGTATCTAAATATCATCATCATAAGAATAATGTATCAAAATATATTTTAAACCTTGGATCCTGGGTAATAATAAGTGGAAGCCTATTCACGGGTTGGGATAGTTTTTCTATTCAGAAAGAGTAAAACAAACTTGCATTATTGGAATGGCTTTTTATAACAGATGCAAATTGAAGGGGCCTTAAATAAGATTGTAAGACAGAAATCAGTTGTAATAACTGAAATGGAAACAAAAGAGTCACAGCAAGGACGTATGACAGAATGTTCCACTTACTACACTTGGCGGGTATCTTCCAGAGAAAGGATCTTTTCATTGTAGCGTATCATTCATGAAAAACTTTTCTCAAAGAGGTTCCCTTGTGTCCACCTTGTAGCATTTTAATTTGGGGTGCTGGATGTTGATGCTGATTTTACATTTTAAGCAATTTTTGAGAATTTAGGAATAGCATATATACTTTTGAAGGTTATCATTGTGATGCACTTTATTATTTTGATTTTGTAACCTCTCCAGATGTTTCGAAGTTATGTAAGTGTTAATGAAATAGATCCATGATGGCGAACCTATGGCACGCATGCCAGAGGTGGTCGCAGCGCCCTCTCTGTGGGCACACGAGCCATCACCCTGGTTCAGCTCTGCCACGTATGCGCGCGTGCTTCCTGCCAGCCAGTTGGCCTTCAGGTCTCTGCCGCACATGCACAGGGGGTGGGGGCGTGCAGGGGGGCACACGTGCATGCGCAGGGGGTGAGGCACATGCTCAGGGGCGCACACGCATTACATTTTGGAAGTTCAGACGCTTTGGGCACTCGGTCCGGAAAAGGTTAGCCATCCCTGAAATAGATCATCAGAGGTAGCTACGGTAAGAGTCATGCACAGGAATAATATCCTCAAAATATTTTTCTCTTCCTGCTAAAAATAAATCAGGACATTTTAAACATTTATTCCAGAACCTGTTTAGGAATCATCTGTTTCCTTTACAGGTCCCCACTTCTTAGTGAATTATCTATATATGTAATAAACAGACTCCCAGATGCAAACTACAAGCCGAGTAATTAACATAGCAATTGTCTACTATCCCACCCTGGAACTGACTTCCAAAGAAACCTATGTAGAATTGCAGTCCTGAAACAGCTTGACAAAAAACAAAAAAAGATCTGTGCCTTTGGAAAGAGACACTGAGATGCTAATCTTAAGTGTTATCCTTGTTGAAGAAAAGAAGAGCACTCTTTTTTCCCTCCTTCAAACTCAGGGCTACATTTCATCTTGACTGGTGTGTTGGCAATTGTCTGCTGAACATTGGGGGGGGGGGGGTTAAATGAATTCCAATCCTCCTGCATTCATTGTTAATGCCACATTAAAAAGTAAAACTAAAGGTAACTTTTGCAGTTGTTCTGACAGTTGCATTCTCCAAGTTTGGGGGACCACGTGTGATTCTGTGGCAATCAGGGTAGATAAAAATCAATCATCTTTTTTTAAAAAAATCATTTTTTTAAATTCAGTTTATTCAGGAGGAAATGGAGCTTAGTTATGTAGCATGAGGCTGTATATTCTGCAACATTGGGATTGTTGGTGAGTCAACAGCAGGTCAGAGAAGGAGTCACTGAGGGACAGAGATGATAGTTGCTCTTTAAAAATTATGATTTAAATCAAGTTGATTTAAATCGAGCTGATTTAAATCAAGCCTTTTTACTTGTGATTTAAATCATGATTTAAATCGATTTGATTTAAAATCCATCCTGGTGGCAATTTAAGACTCTTGGCTTCAAAGATTCCTTTTGCATACTGTACATCACTCCTAGAGCAAACCAATAAGCAATGAAAACGATGCTGGTAGATACTTTAGTGATACCTCCAACAAGTAAAAGTTGTAGCATTTGCTAAGTCTGAGATGCGTAGACATTACCGATTTTGCAGCTTGAAACTTTAAAATGCAAGGAAAGCAAGGTCTTCAGAAAGAAGTACTGCTTAACAACCGTAAAAAGGTAGGAAAAAATCTTTTTTTCTTCCCCTGCCAGGGAAAGCTTAGTCAAACAACTTCAAAGGATGGATCAAGATGTGGGAGGGTTTTCTTACAAAGAGATATGGAAATGAGCCTCTGGATGCCCCAGGTTTGCTGATGTGCCATCCCCAGAGTACAAAGTTGCTAGCTCTGCAAACCATATAGCTTCAGGCTATTTTCCTTGGCAGACTGGATTATCTGTCAGTTCCTTACATGACAAAAATTATAATGAGGTCTATTAGGGTTGCCAGTTTTGAATCAGCCCCTAAAGTTCTGCCTTTTACAGCAGCTGAATCGGCCAACATTTATTAAAGGGCAATGTTAAACTACTATTGTTTTCTACACATCAAAGTTGTTTTTAAACACGCTGAAGAAAATCGGGCAGTTTTCTTATTTTGGTTCATCTCTAGTTAACCATGTGGCTTGCACTATCCATTCATGAGGAATCAAAATTTTATACACATTTTCTATTTTATAATCCAAATGAATTGGCAACCTTGATGACTTTTTTAATTTGTAAACTACTTTTACAGAAGTTGAAATTGTTATTTTCCCAGAATGACCCAAACATTCTCTATGCTCAATTTTAGAGGAGGCCACGGTAAAGAAGCATCAAACCAAAGCAAATGAAAAAGTAGATATCTCCATGCCTGCTTGATCAGACAATGTAACCAAAAGACATCTGGAAATTTTTGTTTCAGCTAAATAAAAAAAAAAATCTTTCATCAATTCTGACAGAGTAATCGTACTCTTTTTTTTAGAAGGTTATTGATTAACCATAATAAACAGAGTCTAATGTTTGGAGTTAAGTTTCATTAATAAATGCTTTTATTAATTAGTATGATAATTTTGGAGAAATTTATAGATTGACTCATGGTACACATCAAAGCTAAGAACTTAGAGGCCTTAATTAAGTCTGACAAGACTCTGAAATAATTATATTCAGTCATATCCAGTGGATTCCATGAATTCATTCTTTACATATTATGAAT